AAAACACCTCATATGATTTCACTGAATAAACACCAATGACCACATTTACTTTTTATCAGAGTGTTATTGTTAAAGAATTTCCCTGGTACTTTGTTGCAGTATGCTTAATGTGAGTTCCCTGCAGTGGCTTGATGTATGATGCAGTAATGAGTATAGAATTTGCATATAGAACGAGGCCATTTTATACCGCTTCTAATTGGCTCATTTAGTCAAGTGCCAAATGCTACAATGTAAAGGTTTTATTTCATTGTCTCTAAAACAGACAGCAAGGTTATATTGGAGTTTCTTTTCTAATACTTTATATTTTTTTCAAGATCTTTAGTCTGTTAAATTTTGGTAGCTTTGCTGGTAAAGTCAATGTTCTACTCACCTTTTGTATTCCCAACAGCACCTAGCACATAGCAGGCATTTGGCAAACATAATTACTCAAGAAGAATCTGGAAACATGCTTTGCAACTTAATGCAGTGGACTTAGTTGGTATTTTCTTTTTCCTGAAATGTCTGTAGCCTAGTACTCCTGCCTTTCCTCCTACCCCACTTGTAAATGCTACCAGTGATTGAATAGGAAGGCCACTATTGCTCACTAGCATTGTGTTGTATGAGGCCCTGAATGTTGTAATTTACACATCTCAAGCCATGTATATATACCAGTTACTTTATCATTTATTTATACATTGAACTCTTTTGACATATTCTTCAATTGATACGAACTTCAAAAGATTTCTTTTAGCATATTTATTTAGTAACCTGCAGATTAGCCTGTAGTCCAAGTATCCTATATAGAAATCCTTCAGAATTAATGTTATTTCCTCCATTGAGATACAGAGAAAATAAGAATAAAAATATGACCTCATAGAGAAGGAAAGAAGTAGTTTAAGGATTTAAATATCATAAAATGTTTTTCTTCCTGTCAAAAGTAAAATTTTAACTGCAGCCAGTTTTTGTATATGTACTGTCATTTTGTGCTTTCTCTATCACTGCTGATGAACATTTTCAGGAGAATAAAAGCACACATACACATAGAAAATGGGATCTCAATATGTGCTACATATTTTGTTAAACCCACTGCAAAATGGAAATACCTAGCACCTTGTTTAAAAACAACTAAGAATTCCAAGGCAGCAGTGACAGAATATAAAACCCAGTGTAGGTCCTTGTATGACTACCCAGGTCACACTTGCACAAAGCTGGCCTAATTGGGTTTCCTGTTTCCAGGGAATGGTCTTCCTGTTGGCAGAGTGCCTAGAAGCTCTTGAGGGTAAATACGTTTATTGTAACAGGAAGCATTTAGACTTGAACCTCAAAGAAAGTAAAGAGATGTGAACTCTCTGTTAAGACCAGGAAACTAGGTTGGCCAGTGTGATTATTGATCATTGTAAGATGGTCAACAAGGTTATGAAATTAAGAATAATTAAATAATTCATCCCACGAGAAAGGATTGGGCCCACTGAAGGTAGAGAACACAACAGGGAGAAAAGTAAGCATTTATTTAGTGTCTTTGTGTAGCATCTATATTGAACTTATTTTTAGTATATTATGTTTTGGCATGTAAACCATATTTAAGTAATTTTTTTCGACCTGCTTTCATTTTCTTTTTTTTTTAAACTTTTATTTAATGAACATAAATTTCCAAAGTACAGCTTATGGGTTACAATGGCTTCCCCCCCATACCATCCCTCCCACCCGCAACCCTCCCGTTTCCCACTCC